ATTGGTTTGGTTGGACCGGCCGTTTGCGGCCCGTTGTGGTTCACCTGAGCGGTGGCCGGCGTTGGCAGTGATGGCACTGTTTGCTCGTATTTACACTCTTTCGGAATTGCCGGCAGATTTGGAATATTAGGTAACGGAGCGTATTTGTTGGACGCTATCACTTGGCTCTGCACCGGGGGTTTGTACACATACGACCAGTCCTGACATAAATATATAGATATATGCATTTCATGTAATGTATAGATAGTACAGTATAGGCAAAGTATTGCCGTATTCAGAGTTATATACAAATCTTACAGTAACTGCCGATAATACTCAATAGTTTCTACAGTATATTACAGTAAAAGTGTGGTTACAATACATACATACAAACTACGGGTAAGTTAATAGACAATTACAAGTGGTTTAAGTAGACATACCTTCGAGTTCTCGAACATATTAGGACTGCACGGATACATGTCGGACACGGAGTCGATGAGTGTGTTGTCGGGTCCGATGCAGGGCGAGGAGGCCATAGTCTGTTCGAGAGAGGGCGGTGTGGGGAACATACGGGTCAGTTCGGCCACTCCTAGCGCTATACTCGTCGACGAGTTCTTGTTGGACGACTTGGAGGGCTCGTCCAAAGCAGTCGTGGAAGTGGTGTTCGAGTTGTTAGTGATTCTCGCGTTTGAAAGACCGGACGGCGTGAGCGGCGCCTGGAAGGGCTCGTCGTTGCTGTCCTCGCCGGACGACGTGTCGAATATCTGTTCCAAATCGCTATAAGAGGCCACCAAATCGTCCTCACGAGTGAACACTTTTGTCATCTGCGGCGAAGTGGCCGACATTTCCGCGGAATTCGCTTTCGAGTTGTCTTTGTTTGCCTGAGAGTTGCCGTTCATTGTCATCGTGTCGGGCGACGAGACCCCGCAGTCGACTCGACTCACGTCGTTTGGCTCCTCTTTGACGCCGTTGTGGGCTCNAATCATTAATTTTTTGCCAAAACTATAGCTCATTGAAGACTTTCTGGATGTCGAGAGTTATGGCCCGAAGACAATAAGTGATAGCTTTTCAATGATTTCCACAAATTTTAATATTAATCTGACAAATATTTTATTTATTTCGGATAATCCTAATGGTATGCAATGTTTTAGTCATTATTTTGTAAAATGAATATATTCTGAACCCTATTATACTGTATATAGAGCTGAATGCAGCCAAAGCGGTCGGTTATGCCGTACTCCTGGCTCTCAGACCACTAAATAAGGAACTCTCGGATGAAGAAAAACAAGGATTTCAATCAATTGAGAGCTTTGAAGAAATTAGTTTCACATAAGACTTATAAATATCTAATTTTCTCATTTTATAAGCGATTCTTAATAACTACAGTATAATAAAAGTATTAGTAAATGAAACTGTTTTCTCGTTTTATTGTATTTAATTAGAAAATAACTTAAAATTCTTGCCAAACATTACATTTAAAGATAAAAGTGAATACATTTTATTATAAACAAAAAAAGCAATCAATTGTCGTTGAAATGCATTGATTGCACGTCTGGTGTGTTATAACAGAAATTCTGTGAAAAATCAAAGTCAAGAATATTCCCCGGAATTCAGTGTACGTGCAGTGCGTGGATGTGTTGGTCGACAGTAGATGTCATTGCAGTGAATGGAGACAAACAATTAGCTGTCAGTGAATGCCAGCCAATGATCAATAAAAGTCACATCATTTGCCTCATAGACACACAACACGTCAATGTGGGGGCCATTGAGAGCGCGCCCCCTGCTCTCAGAGCTTATCTCTGATGCATGACTGGCTCGTGGTGGCCACGATAATGACCACATAGACCTTGAACAGTGAGCAAGGTGAGCTGATTGCTTGACTCAGTGACACGGTGTTGGTGTGTGCGGATCAGTTTCGTGGTAGCCATCTTCGCGCACATTCAGACATTTCAGACGTACTGCATGTAAGGTCAGGTCATTAGCCATAGTGTTCGCCATGTTTTGCTAGATTTGGTGTAAAAGTTGTTTTTGACTCAAATCTGTCACTCCATTGATGCCACTCATCAGCACTCGCTCGCAGTGAATGGCATTATCTGCGGCACTAACACTCACACCACTGCTACTCCAGAGGAAGCCATGCCTGTGAGCCGCAGGACATGACTCACCCAAACTTCGTGACCAACGGATCCAGCCTTGAGGACTGTCACACGAACTTCTTCGCTTTGGTCGACTTGTGTGGAATCAAATGGCGTCGACTCGCGTGCGAGGCCTCCAGCGCCGACCCCCTCGACGACCCGGTGCTCAGCTCCTACAGCAAGTGTCTGGCCGCCGACCAGCTCTGCGTATGGCGACGCGTCAAGAGCGGCACCCAATCGCCGGACCCGACCACCGCCAGCCGCGCCACCGATAGTCACCAGACGTTCGCCAAAGAGTTGTGGGTCTTCTGGTACGGCGAGGAGCCGGCGCTCGCAGACCTCGTCCACAACGAACTCTCCGACTGTGAGTCCGGGTCCTGGGAAACGGGTCTCTCCTACGAGTGTCGGACTCTTCTGTTCAAAGCCTTACATAATATAATCGAGAGATGTTTGCTGTCGCGAGGGTTCGCCCGATTGGGCCGTTGGTTCTTCCAGCCCACGGACACTACCGGTGCGGCCGATCATCACGGCGCCGACCACACCGCCAAAGCCTCCACCAAACGCTCGACCCCTACCACTCAACTCACGTTTGCGTTCAACTTCTTCGTTCACGGGGACAGCACTGTCTGCGCCAATGTCGACGTCAGACAACACCCCACTGTCCACCGCATCACTAAAGCGGACCTCCAATCGGCACAACTCTCTGCGAACGGCATAAAAGGTTTGCTCACAACTGATCCCAATTCTGAGGTGGAATACTAACGTTTGAAACTAATGATTGAATCGGTGTTTGCAGTGATTTTAGGGCCGTATGGGTTGGCAGGTGTGCTGACGGGTCAGAGTTGCAAAGACTCAGACCCGGCGGCGCAGAAAGTGCTCAACGACTGGAAACAGGTCTACCCGTTGACGCAAATGAGTTCTCCAAAGGACACCACGTCTTCCGGACCCTCGCAGGCGGCCGGTGGACTGTCCCAACACTTTGGCGCCGACATGTGTGGCAATGAGTTCGGCGCCAACTCGTCGTCCCATTCAATGAATCGTGTCGTCGAAGTGATTGTTTCGGGATTTCGTATGAAATATCCGTTTTGTTATGTCTTTACCACTGATATCGACGAACAGAAGACGACTAAATGTTTAACGAATAAAACGAATGCAAAAATAGTGACAAATAGTAGTGAAATGGTAGCCGAAGACAGCTTGTGTCACGTGAAGCCCTTTCTGTGTCCATATCAACAACAGGTGCCGACGCACACCTACCTATTGAAACACTGTGTGACTCACGAGTTGTGTCTATTGTCGCAAAACGGCGCCAACTCTTCAGCAAAGCATAAGGAGCTGAACGAAGAGGCGTTAAGTAATCTGAGTCTTTGGTCGGTGAGCGACCCGTGCGTTAAGAATAACTGTTTGTGCTTTCGCTGCAAACCCAAGAAGGCCGGCGCCAACACCTCGTCCTCCAAAACACTCAACGCTAATCCATATCTCAATCAGACGTCAAACTCTTCGGCCAATAAGAAAGCGGACAAAGAGGGCCGCAATAAAGTGTCCAAAAGTGTGCTACCGTTCCATCGCCGCAGTCCTATACTTAACACATCCGTCGACGTGACCAACGGCTTGACTGCGGCGGCGACGCCGACGCCGGCATCGAGTTTGCTGAACACGTCGACCACCGCCGCTAATCCCAGTGTCTCGAGCTCTATATCACAGCCCACATCAGTGCCCACCTATTCATACAAAAGTCCGATCAGTGGCGGAGGGCTGCCATCACTGCAATCGAGCGCAACCACACCTACCGGTGCCAATGGGATCGACTCACCGCGTTCTGTCGCACAATCACTCACTCTCGACGGTCCCACGTCTTCTGTAGAACAAAGCAATCTCTCGGTGTCTCCGCATCCCATCAAAGAGGAGCAGACCAACGGTCCGGACTCGCAGTTCATGGCGTCGTCCGTCGCTCCGAGTCCTCTGTCTCTCTCCCAAAGCAAAGAGAAGACTCGTTTGGAACAGTTATTGTCGCCAAACAACCCATCCATGAAAGGGTCCGTCAATACGAACAATATATCAGACGACTCGCCGAGTATTCAAATGAGTAGTCAGTGGACACCCGGCGGACAGTCCTCGGAGATGGACTCAATCGCCGTTCAGATACCGGCGTCTGAAACGAACAGCAACTCGACTGCGAATCCGGTGTCCAATCAATCGCAACAACAAAATGGTTTAACGGGTGTTAAGAGGCCTCTACTGGGCATCAACTCATGCGAAGACAACGAATCGGATTATATGCGAAACGGCT